CTTTTTTTTTGCACAGCCTCACTTATATAAATTACCTTATCACAATTTCCTCCACTACTGAGTTAACTTAAAAAGCAATCAAAAATGGCCACTTCACCTTTGTGAGATGAAAAATTTCTATCAAACCTAATTTATGCAGGGATCGGTGTGTGACTCACCGCAGTGGGTGGCTGAATCACGTCAAGAGGATACGCCAAAGCGCGGATAATTTGCACTAATTTGACTGGCAGATCGGTGCACAGAAGACGTTGACATTTTGGCATCAAATGTAGTCATTAAACTGAGATGCAAGAGAGGAACTGCCCATTTGGGACTGCGGCAGCGGTGACGGCGGTGGCAGCAAGGAGAAGGGGAGACACCACCCTGACAATAAAGCATCACACATAGATTGCCAAGCCTTTGTGACACCGTAGGGACAAACCGAAAGTATTATTTTATGTCATCTTATTATCTCGTCTTAAAAATTCTTCGTACTTGGTAATGAGAGGGGGTGGGAACAGCATCGCTTTCTCTCTTGCCCTGCCCTATCTGAAATGCAAATCTCCCCATGAGGAAAGATGAGGGGCGTGAGAGGTGGAGGTGGGGGACATTAAGAAGTATTGCGCTATGTTGTGTTGTGTTAGAAGGCGATTTTATTCATCACTGATTCATCACTCATCTGTCACTAGTACAATCTGATTCGGATGAAATAAAAGATGTGCTCTATCACAAACTTCACCTGCTTGGTCTCAAGGGGATGAAGTTTTGTTGTGATTTACTTTAAGGACGTAACAATGTCCATTTAAATGACATCAGCGCCTCCTTCACACATACACAGCGAATAAAAATTGGGTGAGAAGGGATAGGGAGAAGTGGATTGGTTTGTCACTTTGACAATTTGTGAATCAACATGTTGAGCTCAAACTCCTTTTACTGTTCCTTTCTGGAAAGTTTTACGGACCAATGAGAGGAGAATCGGCAACACCTCTTGTAAACACGTAATTATGGTAAACAATAAAATAAAATTATGTTTGCATCGCCAGGGTTTGAGGGGACCATCGGTACAGTGGAACTGTTGATGGCCCTCAAGGTCGCAATGTGATTGGCTGGACAATAATGTCAAAATAATGGACAAATTCTCTACCCTTTTTACATTCATGATCATAAAAATTTAGTACTTTGTTAAATTTTGAAATCTCATACTCTTTTAAAACCTTCTTTAAGGTGCAGGAGAGAAGTTAAAAGTTCTCTTGCCACTGATTTCTCGGTTCCTATTTCATTCCACAAAAAAGTCTCATAAAATGTTCCACTTTAACAGGTCAAACAAAAAGAGTGCACTTTCCGACCCCCCTCTTTTGTCCTCCTTCACTTCACTCCTCCCCAAACCGGTCATTAAGTCGGGCCTTTCAATTATGAGGGAATCAAAAGCCAGCCTTGCCTTTTTTAACTTGTCTTTCACATTTCAAGCCCAAAAATAAATAAATTATAGCAATAAAAGGAGGTGAGAAAAAAAAGGTAACTTCTAAACCTTATAAACATTGAAATCTGCATAAATGCAAATGACGTTGGATTCGCCGTTCACTCCATTCAACCAACCAACCGATTGAGTCGCCAGTCAGGCAGCCAGGCGACCGCTCCAAACCAGCCAACCAACTCACCAACTCGATTTTCTCCATCCCCATGCCATTCGCCCTGTCGCGTTGGCAAGGGGAGAGAGACAGGCTATGCAAAAGTTGATACGCTTGACAGTTGACGACTTGTTATTATTTTTTTATAAGGAATGTGTGGACTAGGCGACGGGAAGGGAGGAGAAGGGGACAGTGGATGATAGGCTTGGGGGATTTTTATCCTCTGGTAGGCCTTCGTGTAGGTCCCAAAAGTGCCTCATGTTGGAGGCAAGACAAGCTGATTGAGACTGTCTATAAAATTGTCAGCATTAATTGTGACTTTGAATCAAGGGATGGAGGTAGATGGAGGTATTGGGGAGTTTGAGGATTTCCTCCTCCTCCTCCTCCTCCTCCTCCTCCTCCTCCTCCTCCTCCTCCT